TGACTATTCTCGCATTATAGGAAGCTTAATGTATTTGATGAATTGCATACGACCAGACATAACATACTCGGTTAATAAATTGAGTAGATATACAAGTAATCCAGGAAAGAACCATTGGATTGCAATAATCAGTGTTCTAAGGTATTTAAGATATACCATAAGTTATGGATTATATTATTCTAGATATCCAGCAGTACTTGAAGGATACAGTGATACTAATTGGATATCAGATACAAAGGATTCTAAATCCACAAGTAGCTATGTCTTTACTATTGGAGGAGGTGTCATATCTTGGAAATCTTCAAAACAAACTTGTATTGCCAGATCCACTATGGAATCTGAATTTATTGCTTTGAATAAAGTTGGTGAAGAAGCTGAGTGGCTTCGTAATTTCTTAGAAGATATTCCAAATTGGCCTAAACTTGTGCTCACTATATGTATACATTGCGATAGTCAATCATCAATTGGAAGGGCACAAAATAATATGTATAATGGTAAGTCTCGACATATACGTCGACGACATAATACCGTTAGACAATTGCTCTCAAGTGGGATAATCTCAATAGATTATATCAGGTCAAAAGATAATTTAGCGGATCCATTTACAAAAGGTTTGACAAGAGAACAAGTGTATAGTTCATCGAGGGGAATAGGATTAAAGCCGAAAGCTAACGAGTCATCTTAACGGAAACCCAACCTAGTTGACTGGAGATCCCAAGATCTAGGTTCAAAGGGATAATAGAACTTCTGAATGGCTCACCAGAAGCACTGGGAAGATTTAATCTTCTATCCATTTCTATGATGAGACAATGCTACCTACAACATTAAGTAGGATAAGCTATACTTTTAATGACTCTTATACCTTGAAAATTCAAGTGGGGTATAGTAGAATACTTTTAATAAGAAATCACCTATATGAGTGTGAAATGAGACCGCTTCTATGAGAACTTCTAAGGCTAAGTTTTCCAGAGCGCTCATGAAATACCAGGAGTTGTTCAGGGCCATATGAACACAACCGTGAGAACCGACTTTGTACGGGAAGGAACTGTGTTTTTATTATTGTCTTGGTTTACATCAACGGCTGAACAGTTCAAGACATTATGTTCACTGGTTAGCTAATAAATCCGATAGTAATACACTAGGGAAGGTTCAAGGCTAAAAGTTACCTATCTCGATGCAGTAACTTTCCAACAGTACTCTCTCTAGTGTCTGTATCTTTTTCATTTGCATTTTATGCAAATTTCCATTCATGTGGGGGATTGTTCGAAACGGAGGTATTAAAAAACATAAACTTTGGATAAGATTTGGAGTAAATTCCGTTAAGAATTTTTTGCAGATCTCTAGACGAGCGCGTTTCTCTCCGCAAGAAGATAAACGTGGTATATTTACTTTCTCAAATCCGTTTCCGGGTGAATGAGAAATTAGCTCCAAAGTGTGGTGTTTTGATAAGCCTAAATGGGTATGCAAAATGTGAGAAGTGTTTGTCCCATATGGAAAAAATGTTGAAACCAATTGAAATTTAAATAAGCTAAATTTGGGCTTGGGCTTGGGCTTGGGCCTAATTGTAAAATCCGATTATTATTTTTACTAAATGAATTTTTGGATTAGGCCTTTATTTTTGGGATGGGCTTATTTAAATGGGTGGTTAGTTTTTTAATTTAAATTAAAAGTTAGTTTTTTTTTTAAAGGGTTGCATCTATTTCCAAAGGGTTACATCTATTTTCCGAAGAGTTACATTTATTTCTAAAGGGATGCAACTTATGATGAACCAACATGACCCATGGTTGCACCCATACCCGAAAAGGCACTTTGCTTCCTATAAATACCCCCCTTTGGGGTCATTTGCAATCACACCAAAATTCAGAAAATTCTTCTCTTCTTCTGAATTTTCTTCTTCTTCTTTCTCTCTTTAGTTTGTGGGTTCGAGCCTTAGTATTTGGGTTCGAGCCTTAGTCAATCACTCCAAGTCCGAGTTCGAGTCAGAGAGTACTACACGTAGCCAGTTCGCCTATTCTTTTAGTTTGCAGTACTACTACATAAGGAAGACAAGTCGTTGTATCCTAAGAAATAGACGCCACGAGTCCGTTAGCAATATAGCTGGGCGAATCTGTCTTGAAGACACAGAATAAAATTCTATCCTCGACTTTTAATCAGATTCCTTTATTTATAGTATTATTTTATTTTTTAAAACTATATATTATAAGTAATTATATATATAGATTATTATTTTAATTCAATATATATATAAACATTATATTTTTACATAATATTTAAATAAATAGTACTATAGTATATATTATACTAATATCATATTTTGGACAACATGTTACAGTAACATAAAGTATTTTTCGTGTACAGTGTAGGAAGTAGAGAAAGTAACAAATCCTCACTTTCTCCTTCATTTGTTAAATGTGAAAGTACTTTCTAAAAGTACGAAAGTAAAATTATATTAATAAATATGATTTTTACTTTTTATTTTACATTTTAGGAATTAGCAGTAGAAAACAAGAATTATTCCTTTTACTAAACAGCCCTTAATGGTAATACTTTTCTTGAAGAGAGAGAGAGTGATAAAGAGAGTGAAGACCTCGTCGCGTGCAAGACTGGAGCTTAGAAGGTTGATATCCCCACAGGCATCTTTTAGGACCCGTTCGCCATGCGCTTTGTTTTAAAATTTTTGTTTTTGGTTAAAATAGAAACAGTTTTTAGCTGTAGGAGTGGTCTGAAAAAAAATAGAGAACACGTTTAGAAGCGATATTTTGCTGTAAAAATGTCGGGCCCATGTTGTACTATTGTTATGGTTTTGGGCCATTATTAAAACAAGAAAAAATAAAGGCTTTCTTGGTTTGTAACTCTGAAAATAGTTTTTAAGAATTCAGATAATAGAAAATAGTTTTCAGAGAATAATAAAAGATAATTCTCTAAAAATATGCCTTTTATAACTGAGTTTTCAGAAAACTGTTTTAAAGAAACTGAACCAAATAGAATTTTTTGTACAGTTTTATGTTTTTAGAAATTTATTTTTAGAGTTACAAACCAAGCAGGACTTAACTTTTTGGTATTTTGGTTTTGAGCCATTGTTCACGAAATATTTTAACACTGTATAAAATAAAACAAAATCGCATCAAACATGTTTTTGTTGCGAAAATCAATACTATAGCAGTCCAAAAATAAAAATAACAGAGACAAAACGCATGCTAAACGGGGCCTTATATTTACAGGTCAGACTACTCCTTATAAGGGATATATAATCATCCCAAGAAGACCGAGCTCTACGTCCCTTGTTTACTGGGTGGCATTATCTTAGCAGTCAATTCTTTCTGGGTAAGGTTTTGAATGCGATTGGAGAAAGGCCATTACTCTTGTAGTATGCCATATATTGAAGTTGTCGACAAAGTCAGGTGATACGCATAGTTTGGTGACACGTACATGCACAAGGAATAGTCTTACCGACATATATGAAAGAAATTAAATGATTTCATAAAGAATAATTGAAAAAATGGTTGGATATATGCATCTGCATAACCCTATATATAATGACCAATTTATAAGACTAGAAACTTCATTTTCACATTAATTTGTATGTGGTTCGATATTTTTTTCAGAATATAATATCTACTTTATCGACAGTGACTCTAATACACACCAGTGAAGTAAGTGGTTAATTTAATTACCACTACTATATATTAATGTTATATAAACACAAAGCTATAAGTCAAAATCCATTTTTTTTATAATTAAAGAAGCATATATATATCCGGCAACTCAACGGACAAAGTACAACTGGTTTGAACTGGTCGAACTTAAGTCATCTGTCAAATTTCTTCAACATTCAACAATTTTTAAGAATTTGAGATACAAACCCAACAATAAAAACTATCTATTTGTGTTAATATATAGATAGATGGAATGCATTGAATCTTTTTAAGTAATGGAAAAAATTAGTTGTAGTGCTAGTATTATTTGATTTTTGAGTCTGCATTCACAGTCACATATCTGATTAGTTAAAAATAAGTTTTAATTAATGTCACTTTTCTATTTTTTTTGGAATTATAAGACTTTAACTTTAAGACCAAATTACCCTTTAAAATTATTTCCTCTTTCTTTATACCTAATAACCTTTCTTCTTTCCTTTGTTACATATATTTAACTTCATTTTTTTTTTTCTTTATTTTTAACAATTGCGAAAATCAATACTATAGCAGTCCAAAAATAAAAATAACAGAGACAAAACGCATGCTAATCGGGACCTTATATTTACAGGTCAGACTACTCCTTATAAGGGATATATAATCATCCCAAGAAGACCGAGCTCTACGTCCCTTGTTTACTGGGTGGCATTATCTTAGCAGTCAATTCTTTCTGGGTAAGGTTTTGAATGCGATTGGAGAAAGGCCATTACTCTTGTAGTATGCCATATATTGAAGTTGTCGACAAAGTCAGGTGATACGCATAGTTTGGTGACACGTACATGCACAAGGAATAGTCTTACCGACATATATGAAAGAAATTAAATGATTTCATAAAGAATAATTGAAAAAATGGTTGGATATATGCATCTGAATAACCCTACATATAATGACCAATTTATAAGACTAGAAACTTCATTTTCACATTAATTTGTATGTGGTTCGATATTTTTTTCAGAATATAATATCTACTTTATCGACAGTGACTCTAATACACACCAGTGAAGTAAGTGGTTAATTTAATTACCACTACTATATATTAATGTTATATAAACACAAAGCTATAAGTCAAAATCCATTTTTTTTATAATTAAAGAAGCATATATATATCCGGCAACTCAACGGACAAAGTACAACTGGTTTGAACTGGTCGAACTTAAGTCATCTGTCAAATTTCTTCAACATTCAACAATTTTTAAGAATTTGAGATACAAACCCAACAATAAAAACTATCTATTTGTGTTAATATATAGATAGATGGAATGCATTGAATCTTTTTAAGTAATGGAAAAAATTAGTTGTAGTGCTAGTATTATTTGATTTTTGAGTCTGCATTCACAGTCACATATCTGATTAGTTAAAAATAAGTTTTAATTAATGTCACTTTTCTTTTTTTTGGAATTATAAGACTTTAACTTTAAGACCAAATTACCCTTTAAAATTATTTCCTCTTTCTTTATACCTAATAACCTTTCTTCTTTCCTTTGTTACATATATTTAACTTCATTTTTTTTTTCTTTATTTTTAACAATTGTCTGATTTTTCTTTCTTTCTTTCTTGATTTTTCTTTCTTTCTTTTCTTGTTCACTTATATATATATATATATTCCACCTTGGTGGATTTTTTATTAGATTTTATGTAATTTAATTGAAATAACAGTACGAGATTGAGTTTTAATTGAAGTAATATTATAAAATTGAGTTTTAGTTAATATAAGAAATAAGAGAAGTATGGTTTCCCAATCTATTCACTGTATGGTTAACTGCTATATATATATATATAGAGAGAGAGAGAGAGAGAGAGAAAATAAAAGAATTGAAAAAAAAAAAGAAAAAGGAAAGAAACAATCAATTCACATAATTTTTTTCGAATTTGCTTATTTATCAAGGAAAAAAAAAAAAAAACAAGCAACTGGTATTACTTTGTTTAACTATAGTAATCTGCATTCCAACACGATCAACAATAATAAGGTAGGTAAGCAAAGAAGAATAAAATTTATATATATATATATAGTACAAGTAGGATAGAAAAGAAAGAAAAAATATAAAAGGATAATTTGGTCTTAAAAGTTGAATTTTATAGTTCAAAAAAAAAAACAAAGTCATTAATTACAAACTTCTGTAATTGAGTTTTTCAACCAATCACATGTGTGAGTCATTGTGTTTAGCACTCTTTGGCCAATAATAAAGATTGGTCAGTTATGTTTAAGCCATTTTTTGGAGAATCTAAGCAAAAAAAAAAAAAACAGACACCTAGCAATTTGAAGACATTTATAATTTTGATGGATATGCCATTGAGGGAAGTTTTATGACCAATCTATCTTTTCATTTTCTACTTCATCTATTGGATTAAAAGAGATTAGACATGTCATGCATGATAAACTCTCTCATGCATCTTAAACAATCACAATCTTAATTATTGTCTAACCAGTTTTATCTTATTAGAAAAACATACATATGCTTGTATAAATGTTTGTGTGTATATATATATATACTTATAATGATCGGAGCTTTAGCTTCGGACTGTCAGAAATATTTTGGGGAATCTCTCATTTTCAGAAATTTTAGCTTATCGTCGGAATATATGGTGATTTTTCCGACTAGATCTCCTTTTGTTTGCTATGCTTCTGCGACCTTCACCAATAGAGTTTTTTACCCATAAACATAAATAGCAGAGTTTTGGGGAGAGTTTCTTCACCGGATTTCAAATTTCATAGAGAGATTTTCTATTTAATATTTCAGATATAGTATATATAGCAGAGTTTTGGGGAAGGTCAACTTTCCTTTTGGATGATTGGAGCTTCAGCTTCTCGCCGGATTGGATGATTGGAGCTTCAGCTTCTTGCCGAATGTATGGTGATTTTTCCAAACGAAGCTTCTTTGAACAAAGATCTTTTGTCTTCCACAAAACATCCTAAGTTCATCTTCTTTTTTTCCAAAATCTATGTCTGGTTCTTGATTGCCTTCTTTCTCAGTTGCACTTGATCATGGAGTTTAGTTTGCATATTTCAGAAATGAGGGATATATTTTAGATTGACTATATATATATATCAGTTTTGGCTCCAATCTCAACTTTCGTTTTGGGGGAATTTCAAATTGAAAGTGAAATACAAATACTGGTACAGAGTATACAAAACTTGGATGTACAAAGCATAAACTACCATCAGTAAATACACATTTCACAAAAGTGCCACATCAACCATTTAACCCCTCACTTGACAATCTCCAGTGAGAAGCGAATGGAGAGGATTCCATTCCCATATAATGACCAATTTCTAAGACTAGAAACTTCATTTTCACATTAGTTTGTATGTGGTTCGAGATTAAAACATACCAGTGAAGTAAGTGGTTAATTTAATTACCACTACTATATATTAATGTTATATAAACACAAAGCGATAACTAAAAATTCATTTTTTTTATAATAATCATTTACGAACATGCACCAAATAATTTTATAACACAAATCCAACTCAAATACCAACAGATTGAAAATAAAAATCTCTGTTTTTATTTGTAGGCGGTGTTTATGTGATACTCATGTAACATTTCTTTTTTCTTTTTTTTTTTCTTTTTTTTTTATTTTAAAAAAAGGTTAATTTCTACTCATGTGACATTTCACATACATGAATATTCCACGTATAGATATGGTGACTTGGTTTTTATTTTTCTTTGATTCAACATTCAAGAACCTTATTGCCTGTAGATTCCACATATAGATGGGAAATAAGTGAGCTATTGTTGTATTATTGCCTGTAGATTCCACATATTTTTCTTTGATTCAACATTCAAGAATCTGACTTTATTTTATTTTAATTTTTTATGGGATAGGTGGATTCCTGATAGCTATGGAAGAAGTTACAACTGCTGAGGAATCATGGGACATGTGGTAGTCTGGAACCATTTCACGTGGAAGCTGCTGAAGTTGCCACACCTAGTTAATGCATGCATGGAGCTCTATAAATAGAACACTTAGAGCTAGTTTGCAAACCCTGTTCAAATCACACAGCAAAACAGCACTTTCAATTCCTTACATTCATGTATCTTTACATTCATGTAATGCAATTTCATTATGTTTAATTCAAATCATGCACTTATCTTTCTTACTTTCCAAGTCCTGCACTCCAATTCCTTTACTTTGAAGTCCTGCACTTTCAATACCACTTTCTTTTCCACTAGCCATAGTTCAGTTCGAAAGTCCTTTTTCAAGGCAAAAAGAACCCTTGAAGGTGGTAATTCTAGTCCTTTATTCAATCGCCTGATCCTTGTAATTTCCTACTGGATAGTTGTTCGGATATCCACTTTGGAATGACAGCAGTTCCTGGCACGCCCGACATCCACTCCCACTTTCCATTCACCTGGAAAGAAGAACTAGCGCTTTTCCGCGAGCCGAACAGTTTCCAATGCTCCTCACCATGTTATCTCCTTGATAAAGTCCTGCATCAGAGCTCATCTAGCTGCAATCAAGTTAAAGAGGAGTTCAGATCTTAGAATTATCACAATAGAACATGACCTCCAAAACCTTTTTGTGCAGTCTTGTTCTTCATCATGTGCCTACTCATGGCTGATATCATAGGCAGGCCTCAATACTTTTGAGTTTGAATTGTATCCAATGTTTTGGTCTGAGGTAGCTGTGCTCTTGGTAGCTGTGCTTCATCATGTTGTAGTTAGTGTCTGTACCGTTGTTTTGTTTTGTGTTGTATTTCCCTTTATTGGGGCCCATGTATATCCTTTCTTATTTATATACAAGCTTACCTTTTAATAAAAAAAATAAAAATAAAAAAACATGCACCAAATAATTTTATAACACAAATCCAGCTCAAATACTAAGAGATTGAAAATAAAAATCTCTGTTTTTATTTATAGGCTGTGTTTATGTGGATACTCATGTAACATTTCATTTTTTTTTATTTTAAAAAAAGGTTAATTTCTACTCGTGACATTTCACATGCATGCATATTCCACATATAGATATGGTGACTTGGTTTTTATTTTTCTTTGATTCAACATTCAAGAACCTTATTGCCTATAGATTCCACATATAGATGTTAAATAAGTGAGCTATTGTTGTATTATTGCCTGTAGATTCCACATATTTTTCTTTGATTCAACGTTCAAGAATCTGACTTTTATTTTCTTTATTTTTTTTTTTTTTTTTTTTGGGGGTTTGGAATGAGGATAAGGTAGAAATGATTTGGGCCAACCACGGAATATGAGTACACAAATAAATTCCATCCAATCAAACTATAATTTTTTTGTTTCCACTCAATCAGTTACACGTGTATAAATAATTGTTTGGCAGATACAAAGTAAGCTTAATCCCTCAAATTCGTATGAGATACAATTAATTAGTCAAGCACAATACACAATATTTTAACAAGGTTCAACGATCAATTATACACGCAAAAATAATTGTTTGGTAGACACACGGTAATCGTAATCTCTCAAACATGCATGTATGGAAATACAATCAGTCAATCATAACACACGATATTTTAACGTGTTTCAGTTAATCCTCTTGGCTTATATACAAGGAAAATTATTAAGAACTAAAAAGAGAATATATATACAACCAAACGCTCAACTCTACTCACTCATCATCTTTGGAAGCTACATTTCTCCTTCGAGAATTACATGCACTCTCTACTCTTCTCACAACAGTCACCAAACCCTTATTTCTTATTTACCTTTTTCAGCCAATTTCATCCCTAGCTAGTAATAGAATCTTCACCGCATTCCTCATTTGAATAAGGATTATCATACATTGTTAAACAAGTCTTCAACTCATAGGAAAAAATTTCTTTTAATTAAAGAAGAAAATATCTTTTAATTAAAGCATATATATATCCGGCAACTCATCGGACAAAGTACAACTGATTCGAACCAGCTGAACTTAAATCGGACCTGTCAATTGTCCTCAGCAGTCAGCAATCTTCAAGAATTTGATATACAAACCCAACAATAAAAACTATCTATTTGTGTTAATAGATAAATGGAATGCATCGAATCTTTTTAGTTTATGGAAAAAATTAGTTGTAGTGCTAGTATTATTTGATTTTTTGGCCAAATAATAAAGATTGTTCAGTTATGAAGTGCCTACGAAAAATATAAAATTGCCATCTTAGAATTCAAGTATGATTGGAAATACATTGTGATCGGAAGTAAAGGGCACCAAACCTCTCTGTCTCAAAGAAAATGAAATAAAAACTTTCCCAGTCTGATAATGTTGAACAAAGAGCATATCATTGTGATTTCAGTACTTAGTATACTCCTTAGCCAAAGTTTCACATGATATGGAATCAATAAGAAATTATCAGCCAGCCTATTTTGCACAAAGCGATATTCATCTTTAAAGAACTAATACGGAGTATATGTTACAATGAAATATTAAATTTATTGCAATGCACATGAGGTTAATGGCTGGTTTTTAGAAGCATTTTCTTGATCTGTTTTGTTTAAGCAACAAACACAGCTTAAATATATTGACAATAAAAAACAAGTAGAAACAATAGATGCAAGACAGTGAAATTACCCAGTCAAGAAGGTAAAAGCATTCCTCCTTTCAACTGTAGCTGGTGTTACTCCTCCCACTAACAATTTCCAACACGACAATTCCAAAACTATAAATATCTGTTTTGTCAGGCAGGTAACCCCGTATTGCATATTTAGGTGCCATGTAGTCACTGTAAAATCATAATAATGTATCAAATTGTCTGTAAAAAATGTTGTTCTCACTCGATAAAATATAACTAATACTTGGCATATGTTTCTGTTGCGAAATTAAACAGAAAAACACAAGAAATAGATCAAACACACACACAACAAGAACACACATAGATTTTACTTGGTTCACCCAAAATTCAGGACTACATCTAAGGATTGCAGGGATTTCATTATGATGATAAAAAACGGCTATAGATACAGAGAGTTTAGAATGAATAAATATCCTCGCACTAGGGAAACATAACAAGTGCAGAAATAACCAAAATACCCTCCAAATAAGTTGGGTCTTTGTGTATAGTATCTATCAGGCTCCACACTACCCATCAATCTCCCACTTGGAGACTGATAAACATCAAACTGTCAACCCCACATGCCTTCATACATAGCAAAACACCATAACAACTCACTTCTTTGTCCTCAAGCTTGAACACCAACTGAAGCTAAACAAAGCTTCAGTTTCTCAATTGTCACTGCCTTGTTTAACATATCTGTTGGATTTTTACTCCCATGGATCTTCTCAAGTGATAAAACTTTATCTTCTATGTGTAAGCGTATGAAATGGTACCTCAAATGTATATGCTTTGTTCTGGAATGGAATGGGGGATTTTTAGCAAGATGAATAGCACTCTGACTATCACTGTACAGAATATTATTCTCTTGCTTCTTACCCAATTCTTTCAAAAAAAACCCTGCAACCAAATCATCTCCTTGCTAGCTTCTGTAGTTGCAACATATTCAGCTTCTATAGTCGATAGAGCCACAATCTTCTGTAACTGAGAGTCCCAACTCACTGCTGTACCACCCAAGTATACACATACCCCATAGTACTCTTCATATTATCCATATCACCAGCCAAGTCTGAATCAATATAACCATGCAATGTAACCCCTTTCCTAGTAAAACATAGTGATGTTTCTGTAGTACTCTTCAAGTATCTAAGGATCCATTTTACGGCCTTCAAATGATGCTTGCCTGGATTACTCATGTACATGCTCACAACTCCCACTGCATGTGCTATGTCCGGTCTGGTACAAACCATGGCATACATTATGCTGTCAATAGCTGAGGCATATAGAACTCTTTCCATGTATGTTCGTTCCTCCTCTGTCTTGGGCGACTGTTCCTTAGTTAGTCTAAAGTGACTAGCTAATGGGGTGTTCACTGGTTTTGCATCTTGCATACTGAATCGGCTGAGAACCTTTTTAACATACTCTGTTTGTGATAGCTTCAGAGTACCACCCACTCTGTCTCTGCAAATCCTCATGCCAAGAATCTGTTTTGCTTCACCCAAATCTATTATGGCAAAATGCACAAACAATTGTTTCTTCAAATTTTTAATTTCCTCGAGACTTGACCCAGCAACCAACATATCATCAACATACAATAATAAGATAATGTAGCTGTTTTCAAACCTCTTAACATAACAACAATGATCTGCATAGCATCTCGTGAAACCATTACTGCATATGAATCCATCAAACTTCTTGTACCACTGTCTGGGGCCTGCTTCAAACCATACAAGCTCTTTTTCAGCTTGCATACCAAACCCTGCTTTTCTGGCACTGTGAATCCCTGTGGTTGTCTCATATAGATATCTTCCTCCAATTCACCATGGATAAAGGCAATCTTCACATCTGACTGCTCTAAATGCAAATTTTCTGCAGCCACAATTCCAAGCACCAATCTGATTGTAGTCAACTTCACAACAAAGGAGAAAATCTCAATGTAGTCAACACCATGCTTTTGCTGAAATCCCTTCATAACCATCTGGATTTGTAATGCTTGTTGCCATCATGTTCTTCTTTGATTCTGTAAACCCACTTGTTATGTAAAGCCTTCTTTCCCTTTGGTAGTTCAGTTAGCTCCCATGTCTGATTTGACATGAGTGAGTCCATCTCATCCTGCATAGCTAACTCCCACTTAGTTGAATCACCAACCTGCACTGCTTCATAATAACTCTCTAGTTCACCACCATCAGACAACAATAAATAGTGTAAAGAAGGCGAGAAACGCTGTGTAGGTTTGGAGACTCTGGAGGATCGTCTCAATGCACTAATAGGTGTGCCTTATTCCACCCGTGGAACTATATTTTCTGGATTGTTCTAAACTCTCCCCTGCACATCTTCCTCGGAGATTTCCTCCAACTCAACAAACTCATCATTTTCAGCCTGAGCACCTGCATTAGTAGAATCTAATGCTAACCTATCCTTATACATTACTTTCTCATTGAACATGACATCCTTGCTTCTAATTATCTTCCGGTTTTGATCATCCCAAAACCGATAACCAAACTCATTAGTCCCATACCCAATAAAAGTACATTTTTTTGACTTTGGATCAAGCTTGCTTCTAGCATCAGAACTTATATATACATATGAAACACAGCCAAATACTTTCAAATGTGAAAGATTTACCTCTTTTTTGCTCCAAGCCTCATCTGGTAAGCCTCCATCTAAAGGAACAGAAGGTCCCCGATTGATCAAGTATGCTGCAGTGTTAACTGCATCAGCCTAAAACATCTTAGGCAATCCAGCATGTATTCTCATACTCTGAGCACACTCATTCAAGGTTCTGTTCATGCGTTCTGTAACCCCTTTTTGTTGCGAGGTTTTAGGAACAGTCTTCTCCATTCTGATCCCATTAACAACACAGAACTTTTTAAAGCCTTTGTCTTCAGACTCACCACCATTATAAGATCTCAAACACTTCACCTTCAAGCATGTCTTATTCTCCACCATGGCCTTCCACTTCTTGAAAGTATTATATACTTCAGATTTATTTTTTTAAAAATAAATCCATACCTTTCTCGTAGAATCATCGATAAATGTAACATAATACAATGAGCCACCAAGAGATGAAACTGGAGAAGGCCCCCACACGTCTGTATGAACCAACTCTAATTTCTCTATCTTATGTGTCATGCCAACCTTTGAAAAACTGACCCTCTTCTGTTTCCCGAAGATACAGTCCTCACACAAACCAACTTCAACTGATTTAATACCCAACAGTTTTCCTTTCGATAGAAGTATCTTCATCCCCTTCTCACTCATATAACCTACTCTACAATGCCACAGGTTTGAATCTACGCCAGCATCAGCAACAACAATGGCGTTCTTAGTGTTTGTTGTCATGTTTAGAGTACCTGTCTTGCTTCCACGAGCCACGACCAAGGATCCCTTGGTGATTTTCCACAAGCCACCCACAAAATTAACTGCATGCCCATCGTCATCAAGTTATCCCACAGAGATCAAATTTCTCTTCAAGCCAGGAACATGCCTCACATTCTGAATCTTCCATACAGCCCCATTAGGTTGTCAGATCCGATCATCACCTTTACCCACAATATTCAAAGGCTCATCATCAGCTAGATAATCCTTTCTTAAATCACCACTAACACAGTTTTCCATGATTTCACGATGCAAGGTAGAGTGAAAGGATGCACCTGAGTTTAGAACCCAAGACTCAACCGGACTATCTACACTCAAAATCAAAGTATCAACAATCTCTTCTCTGACGGCGTTTATAAATTCATGTTTTCCTTCGCTCTTCTTCTTTGGTGCTCGATACTCAAACTTTAAATGCCCTTTCTTTCCACAGTTCCAGTAGGTTCTAATTTTCAACTTGCTTCTGCATTTGGATTTGGATTTGCTGCGATCCGAGTCTGCTCTTTCAGAAGTTCTTCCTCTGCCCTTGATATTGAAAATAGATCTAGATGATTCCCCTGTTTCCCTTCTGCGAATATCTTCACTGAGGATCAAGTCCCGAACATCATCAAACTTCAATTTTCTTTTTCCTAAAGAACTACTCACTGTTGTAACAGTACCGTTCCAGCTTTCTGGTAAAGAGGATAAGAAAAGCAGCACCTTAATATCATCATCAAACTCAATCTTTACAGAGCTTAACTGAGTCTTAACAATGTTAAACTCGTTCAGATGGTCAGTCACTGAAGCATTTTCTGACATTGTTAGACGCAGTGGGTTTCTCATACATATTTGATAGGGCAGTCATCAAACCTGCTGTTGTCGTCTCCTTTGCTATGTTGAAGGCAACGTTACACGATAATATCAATCGAATAACCCCTAATGTTTGCCGATCAAGAAGAGCCCAATCATCGTCCTTCATCTCTTCTGGTTTCTCTTCGGAAAAAGGTTGATACAACTTCTTCTGATACAGATAATCCTCAATCTGCATCTTCCAGCACCCGAAATCTGCACCATTGAACTTGTCGATCTTGATCTTTCCTTCTTCTGTACCCATCACTCCCACTCGAACCTAATGGCTCTGATACAAGTTGTTGCGAAATTAAACAGAAAAACACAATAAATAGATCAAACACACACATAACAAGAACATACACAGATTTTACTTGGTTCACTCAAAATTCATGGCTACATCCAAGGGTTGCAGGGATTTCACTATGATGATAAAAAAACGACTACAGATACAAAGAGTTTAGAATGAATAAATACCCTCGCACTAGGGCAACATAACAAGTGCAGAAATAACCAAAATACCCTCCAAATAAGTTGGGTCTTGGTGTACAGTATCTATCAGGCTCCACACTACCCATCAGTTTCAACAGGGCACACCCATAAAAGGATCAGTATATATGTGAGTCTCCATATTGGAAAAAAGAAATTTAAGTGAAAATATAATAAAAACTTGTGCAGAATGAAAATAATGATAGTAATAACTCTGAATATGAATTAGAGCTGTTGACTCGCTAAGTTCCAGCAATCCGAATGCTTATGTAGGTATTGTCCTCTTTATCAAGTTTGGCCAAACCAAAATCAGATATCTTAGGATCCTTATCAAGCAGCACGTTGGTGGCCTTGATATCTCTATGGACAATCTTCAGTCTTGATTCTTCATGGAGATATGCCAAACCTCTAGCTATACTAATGCAGATCTTTTGCCTAGATAGCCAATCCAATTTCAACTGGCATTCTTTTAGGCCTTTAAATTAACAAATTAACACGTACATAAACAAAATAATCAGCTAAAGCATACATGTATAAATAATGTCTGTCTGTCTATTCGTGGTCTGAAACCAAAACAAACAAAGCACGAGCAAAACTGTTATTTTCCATATACTCATATACTAGCAACAATTGATTTCCTTCAATACAACACCCAAAGAGCTTTACAAGATGAGGGTGCTGCAATGCAGAAATCATGCCTATTTCATTCACAAATTCACGGTTTCCTTGCTTCGATTTGGAGGAAAGCTGCTTCACAGCAATTAGAGTGCCGTCTGAAAAAAGTCCCTTCATTTAAAAAAAAAATGTTTTTTGCATTAGATTTTCTTTTTTAAGGAAAGAGCAGCATTATTATAGCTTAAAAATTATAACGATGATTAAAGTAATCCTACCTTGTAAATAGAACCAAAACCACCCTCTCCAATCTTATTAGCAGGCATCAAAATTGTTTGTGGAAGCTTTTATTTGTCTTAAGGTATATGAACCAGTCTATAGGTCTAAACCCTTCATATCTGTCAAAGAAATTGAGTTAGAAAAGGAGTATGTCTATAAAACTTTGCAGCCCGAATTGCTAACATTTTAAAACAGGTCTTAACACTTGATCCAGACATCTGTGCCTAAAAAGGCCAGAAAAGAGAGAACCAAGCCGTTCTGTAGTACCAAGTGTTAAATAGACCAATAGTCAAACAAAAAAATTCATAAAAAAATTATTGTAGAAGTGTTGAAATGTACAGAGGCATCCATATACTGCTACAAAGCACTCATAATGACAAAACTATCTATAACACATAACAAACAAAGCCATTTAGCTTCCTCATAAACGAAGAATATGATGTTGATATTTAAAATTACTATTTTTCATAATTATCAGGGTCTTTCCTAATTGGTTTGCAAATACCTCAATCTATTGTATCATTTAGTCGCAGACAGCCATTCCACCAAAGGATTCCCAGAAACGGGAAGGTAATGAATGCAACTGCAACCACAATTCCTGCCACAGAGCCTGCTGATAAACTTTTTCCATGTTCTGATAATGGAACAAAATCTGATTGCGGAAACAAATTATCAAACCATTAATAGTATAAAGAGAATTTTGTTCTCCTTTTATTTTTTCTATTTCACAATAACATGAACATAAAAATATATTTACTGGTATAATGATCTGTTTGACATTTTCAAAGGGTCATAAAAGAGCTGCAGAAAGAACATGGATATGTAATTCAATTATTCATTACAAAAAATGGAATTTGATATTTTGGACTTCGAGATCAGGTCATCCCCTGAAGTCGGAAAACATTCAACCAGCAATGAGAATCTAAAAATAATAATAATAAAGAAAAAATAAAGACATTGAATATGATATTAAGATAAAAACAAAAAGACTCATGATATATAGCGTGAAAATTCCAATTCAGTTCCCATGTGTTTTTTCAAAAAACAATACTCTAGTCTCTAAACATTGTGAGTCGTACGCAGCGGAATGTATATAGAAAAGTTTTAGATTTTGTAAAACAGATCTATGTCGTTACCAACTTTACTTATTTTAGTAATTAAACAATTAATCACATACGGATAAAATAAAACAAAATATAAAGTTAGAGATGACACCAGGATTTTAGCGAGGAAACCCCAATTAATAAAATACACCAACTGTTATGGGAAAAATCTCGTGGACTTGTACAATCCAAAGTAAACCAATCCACTATGCTTGAAACAAAGTATACTAAACTTTGACTCTGACTCACACCCTATCGTTCTACACCACACCAACCGCTGACGATTCCCTGGCTTTGCGACTCCCGTCCAACAGCAACTTGACCTCAGGCTTACACTTGATATTTGTAGAAGAGTAGCAGGTAGATCAGACAGCACTCCGCGAATGCTCCAACCCTTCCAAAGTGTGACTACGTTTACTTCTGTTCTTCAATCGTCTGAATGATATAGAAGAAGATCTGTTTCGTCTGATCAATGTTAATACACCTGTATGATCACAATCAGGATTTGAACACCACAACTCTAAACTTTGTGTTTATGTGTATGTGTTCTAGAAAGATGTCAGAAAAATCAACTCTAATTTTCTGCAAAGATAATCTTCCTAAGGCTTTGAATAATATCTGAATAATAATGTAAAAGCCGTGAATAAACCAATATATATGACATGGTTTATATAGAGTATAGAATGACCTAATCCCTCTGAAAATAAGGTAAATTTTGTACATCGGATTTGGTACAATTCTAGACCAATTGGGAAACAATTTAGAATAAGGAAACTGAAATTGTATTGCAAACAGGACATCTTGAACCAGTTTAAGGAAGCTGAACCGGTTCAAGGTTGGCAGACCTGAATTTCGAATTCTTTCAGCCTTGTTTCATCCAAGGATGATGTGCGACCAACATGGTAAGTGTAGAATGTCCAACCTTGTTCACATCCCTTCCTAAAGTGGTGTTCTTACCCTTTTCGCCACAAACTCTTCAAGTATGGTAAGTTTGAACTCCTTCCCAGTTTTGTAGTCCCTGTCAAACTTGATGACTTGTAGAACAAGTAATTGAAATTACAATCCAAATTGGACTTGTTATGTCAATGATAATTGCCAAAAATACATTAATATCTCACATAGTGCTGCTAAATGCCCAGTTAGGTCCACTCCGGAAGAACCCTAATGGTCCACCTGAATCTGTATCACCTTCATATTTAGTGTTTTTATCGATAGTTGCTTCTTCTCGACCACAATTTATATGGAAAGAAGAGTGTAGAACGGAGACCAAAAAATAAGTTTATTAGTCACCAGCACATGCGTGCACGCGCACACACAGAAACTGAAACCTCTCCAACTATCTATCAAGGGGGTGTCCAGATATGCATTGCGACATCATGTACGTTGTCACACTTTTACTATCTTGAACATCATGCCAAACCACTAAATATTTAAGATTTTTAACTTCAAAGAAGCATAAATATATTCGGCAACTCATCGGACAAAGTATAACTGGTTCGAACCGATCGAACTAAAGTCGGACCTGTCAAATTTCTTCAGCATTCAGCAATCTTCAAGAATTTGAGATACAAACCCAACAATAAAAACTATCTATTTGTGTTAATAGATAGATGGAATACATCAAATCTTTTTAAGTAATGGAAAAAATTAGTTGTAGTACTTAGTATTATTTGATTTTTTGGCCAAATAATAAAGATTAGTCAGTTATGTTTAAGCAATTTTTTGGAGAATCTAAGCAAAAAAAAACTGACACCTAACAATTTTAAGACATTTATAATTTTGAAGGATATGCCATTCAGGTAAGTTTTATGACCAATTTATCTTTTCATTTTCTACTTCATCTATTAGATTAAAAGATATTAGACGTCGCATGTCATGCATGATAAACTCACTCACGCATCTTAAACAATCACAATCTTAATTATTGTCTCACCAGTTTTATCTGTTAGAAAAACATACATGTGCTTGTATAAATGTGTGTGTGTGTGTGTGTGTGTGTGTCGTAATATAGTAAGAGCACGCCCAAGGGTAATCTCGTGGGGGGAAGAATCAAATAGGGGAAATTAAGGATTTATATATTTTGAATTAATTGCATAAAAAAATGGTTATGTTGCTCTAATACAAATGTTGTAGTTGGGAAAGATTGAATGAGAAAATATGTCATCGCTGTAGATACAGGACAGAAAATATGCCATGTTTTCATGTCAACAAAACCAGGTGATTCATTTCCCTTTTCCCTCAAGCTGAATGTGAGTTTCTTCCCCAAGGTATCTCTAATCACTCTCTAATGGTGGTAAGGTTTGGAGAGCTTACTCCTAGAAGAAACATTCCTTTTAGGTTCTTCAACTTCTGGGCTTTGGATCCCTCCTTCTTGCCCATTGTATCATAGGAATGGCATAGAGTTGTTCACGGATCTCGAATGTTTATTCTGGTACAAAAGTTGAGAGCACTTAAGCAGCCTCTTAAGCAATTGAATAAGGATTCCTTCAGTGATATCTCAGCTAGAGTTGCAGCCTGCAGAGAGGAACTTTCACTCTGTCAAAGAAGCTTGGACCTTAACCCAAATGTTGATGACTCACTTAGATTAAATGAAAAAGAGATCTCTTCCAAGTTCACAGAGCTCTCACTTGCTGAGGAATTGTTCTACAAACAGAAAGCACAAGTTCACTGGCTTAAGGAGGGTGACTAGAACACTGCCTTCTTTATGAGGAGTTTTGGTTCAAAAGCTAACAGAAGAAAAATCCAGTCAACATGTAATTCAAGTGGAACTCAATTGTTTGGTGAGGATATGAAGAATGAATTCCTTAATCATTTCATCTCTATCCTTGGACAGGATTTCACACATTATCAAGGTATGCAATCCCTCTCCCATCTCATTACTAAAACTGTTCCTGATCACATCATTTCCTCCATTACCTCAATACCTACAAGCCTTGAAATTCAGAATTGCATACTATCTTTTCACCCATTCAAAAGCCTAGGTCCGGATGGTTACAACTCAGCCTTTTTCAGACATGCATGGCATATCATTGGTCAGGATGTTATTGCAGCTATTAAAGATTTCTTCCTCTCTAGCAAAATGCTTAATGAAATCAACTGTTCCTACATTGCTCTAGTACCAAAGGTCCCTAATCCCTCAACAATAAATGATTTTAGGCCAATCTCTTGCTGCAATCTAATCTACAAAACCATCTCAAAGTTGTTAGCCAATAAACTTGCACCTATTCTTCCACACCTCATCAGCCCTAACCAGAATGCTTTTGTTAAAGGGAGACACATCACTGAGAATATTATTCTGGCTCATGAATTACTGAATGGCTACAACAAGGTTAATCATCCTCCTAATTGTGCTCTAAAAATTGACCTTATGAAAGCCTTTGATTCTATTCATTGGCAATTCATCATTGATTTTTTACATCTCTTTGGTTTCCCACCAGCATTTGTTAATTGGATATCCCAGTGCATCACAACCCCAGCCTATTTTATCTCCCTGAATGGTGAATTGTTTGGTTTTTTCAAGGGAAGGAGGGGCATTAGGCAGGGTGATCCTATCTCCCCATTGCTTTTTGTCCTTGCAATGGAAGTTCTCACTCTCACAATTAACCACCAAATCAATCTGAACTTCCTTCAAATATCACTGGAGGTGCAGAAAATTGTGTATCACTCATCTCACATTTGCAGATGACTTATTGTTTTTCTCTCATGCTAACACTGATTCAGTTCATTGTTTGGTGGCTGCACTTAATTTGTTTTGTTCTTTCTCTGGTCTGCAACTTAACCCTGCAAAAAGTAAAGTTTTTTTTTCAAGGGTTGATTCTCACACAAAATCTTTTATCCTATCCCTTTTGCAATTTGATGCTGGTTCACTTCCTGTAACATATTTGGGAATGCCACTCTCTGCTACAACAATCAAGGCCAGGGATTGCCAAACATTGGTGGGAAGAATCACTAAAAGAATTGGCAGCTGGACATCTAAATTTCTCTCCTATGCTGGAAAAGCAGTC